GCATGGTGCTGACAACACCAAGTTAAGGGTTAAGATCCCCTTACCAGTCATCTTTAAAAAAACAGCAACAACAACAAAAATCAATGTCACCTTAGGAAAATTACTTGGCTTCTTGAGATCTCAATTTTCTCCTCTGTAAATTGAGAGTCCTGACCAAATGATTGCTAGAATTCATCCACAGGTGTACACATAAACTCACAAAGATATACCTGTTGAGTTTTGCAACTTTTCAAACTCCTGCATAGTTAAGTGAGTATGGGGAGACAACATTCCTCTGACTATTGGGCTGAAAGTTTCTGATGAAGAGCTAAATATAGTAGGTGAGTGGTACTGACTGCAGTTTGGGAAAGTTTTTCTAGACAGTTAACTGTTGTTGATTTTTCCAAAATTATATCTTTTAGTAAAGAGTGTACATCTAGTGTAATACTCTGTAGACTTTATCATGGCATAGCTAGGTGGATCATAAAGGAGAAATGAAGATCTACTCAGATCTTTCTACCCACTGTAAGTGTACTCCATTGGAGCCAGTGTGGATTTACTTATGCATGAGAAAGTTCTGGAGGCTGAAACTTTGATAATGATATGAAGAAAGCTTGGTTCAAGGGAGAAAGTACATGAAATTTGAGTCAAATCGTAATTTGAATACCACCCTGATTCCTGACACCTTAATACAGGTTGAAGTCTGGCTAAATTGAGTATCAAGGGAAGTCTTAGTAGGGAAACATAAAGAGAAGAGTTGTCACCAAAGGGCAACATGTTGCTTGAAATGTGGAAGGAGGAGAAGCGCTGGACATCCAGCCCCAGTGCCTTTCATTCTTAATCTTTTTTTTTTTTGGCTGCTGGCCAGTACAGGGATCCAAACCCTTGATCTTGGTGTTGTAACACTGTGCTCTAACTAACTGAGCTAACTGGCCAGCCTCTTTTCATTCATTTATTCAACAAGTCTTTATTGAGGGCCTACTGTAGTCACTTCTCTAGCAGAGAGCAAGACAAAGGACCAAGACAAAGGACAAAGTCTGTGTACTTATGAAACAATGGGAAGCAGACAAGTAAACATGGTTAAAAAATAAAATAGTGCAGAAGGGCTAATAATTAACAACATACAAATACATAAATAACTAAAGATTGTGATAGTTGCTATAAAGAAA